CGACCTTTGGATCCTGTATACCTGCGCTGAGAAGCTCCAGGAAGCAGGAGACTGAGAGATAGAATGAACTGTAACACTGAAAACCGTGAGATGTCTTGGCACAGACTCAGCAGCAGAGACCTGGCAGCAAAGACCTGGCAGTAAGAGACTGCGTGGTGGGTTTCCTGGCCCATGGAGCAAGAAAGCTGAGTGCCTTTAGGTAGAGGCAGAGGACCAGGGAGAGGAGTGCCTGCAGGCACGGCTGGGAAGAGGCGGTCCTGATAGAAGAACTGTATCCTGAGTGTTCCTGAGACTGAATTGTAACTGTTACTTCCCTAAAAAAACCCATAATCCTGAGTATTGTCTGTGAGTTCTGTGTGGCCATTGTAATGAACTATCAAACCCAGCAAAGAAGTAGAAAGTGCTGTGGGATGGACAGTCAGCGTCAGAGTTGGTAAGGATGGCGGAGAGAGGAGGCGTGTCTGACCTCCGTCTCATGGGAATCAGCCTTGGGCTGTTGATCTTGATTCTCCTCCCCTCTTGTGAAGTTAGAGAAGGTCAGACACTGCCCCCATGGTATTTTTCACAAACTGTTGCCATAAAATTAGGAAACATCTTTTGAACACTTAAATCTAGGTTGTTTACATGTATTATATCATTAAATTGTCAAACATTGTCAAACACAAAAAAGCTATTAAGTTGACACTATTATTATTCCCATTTTATAGATGACGAGGCTGAAGCACTGAGAAGTTGATAACTTTCCCAAGGTTATTCTTCTAGTCAATGATGATCCCAGGGATTTACATCAAAGCAGTTTAGATCCTGATTCTATGTTCTTAGCCTCTATTCTCTGAACTTATAAAGAAGTTTAATTTCTGTGTCAAGCTGCCTTATTTCCAGGTGAAAAAAATTTAACCACAGTCTATTTGGGTTTTCTCTGCCTTCCTTTGAGTTGCCCAGGCATCAGTTCTGGAGCCATGGAGTAGAGTCTGGTCTGGGTGATCATCCACCCACGCTGATGTCCACTGAGATGTCCTGACTACTCTCTGAACATTGGTGCAGTCATGGCACAGAGCAGTCATCCCTTGTTCGTGGTCATAAGGCTGCTTTAGCTCAAGCTGTCTAACAGCCAATTCCAGTGTTCTTCTCAGACAAATCGGATCATTCACCTATTCCTGGGCCTCATTAGGCCATGGAGAGTTTGGTGGGCATTTCTAAGTCCTGTCATGACTCTATGCTACCCTCGAGTTCAAGAAGCTTCTGCTGTCCCTGCACTGTAGGAGAACAGTGAGGAGCTCTATGAAACTGTTTTAGGATACATGTTTTTACAACCAATGTGACCATTTCTGCTCTATGGACTTAATACTCTCTAAGCTCTCCCCCTCAGTGGTGCAAAAGGTTAAGCGCTCAACTACTAACTGAAAGATTGGCCGTTCAAACCCACCCAGAGGATCCACAGATGGCAGGTCTGGAGATCTGCATCTGAAAGATCACAGCCTTGAAAACCCTATGGAGCAATTCTGCTCTGCACACATTGTGTTGCCATGAGTAGGAATCGAGTTGACAGCAACTAACAGCAAGCTCTGCTGAGGAGGAAAAGGAAAATAAATGCCTGTTACATTTGGGCCCCCTTCTTCTTAAACTACTTGGCTTATCAGTTATTACTCCTCTCTCCATGCAGACCATACCCAGGGAAAGATGGCGTGCTCCTGTCTCAGGGACCCACACTATTATCTCACTTATTTATTGCCCTCCAATGATCTTTTCCACTCTCTGTCTGGGAAGCAGGGAAGTTTTCCTATTACCTATATCTTCCACCAAACCTGTTGTGTTGTCTATGCAAATCAGCTTTTTCCCTTCCCAAGAAGATCTGAGCTTTTGAGACTCAAGTCAAGAAAAAAAATTATTTTTCTCTCATGTTCAACTAAAGCAATTAAAATAGAAGTCCTAGCTGAGGCCTAAATTGAGGGAAAGATCATGGGGCAATAAGAACACTAGGAACAAAAGGAACTGTAGAGGGAATGTTAACTAATATAGTACTATAGATACCTCCCAAAAATATAAAGTCCCAAATATAATAGATGTTTATTTCTTGCTTATGTAAAGTCCAAAATAGGTGTTTCTGATGGGTAGGCTGTTCTCTTCCAAGTTGTGATTTAAAGATCAGACTTCTTTCGGCTTGTGGGTCTGCCCATTTCACTACGTGAATTTCAGTTTACCATTTTCATCTGCAACAATCTGTGGAAGGGGAAAGAACAGGAGGATCCCATGTAGGCTAACCTGTATGCAAGGGAAGCCAGGAAATGAATGTCTCCCAAGTGTCTTACCTGAATTCCTGGGTGTTTACCTTTGTCTCTCCTCCTTGGCAGGTCGTGAACTCCAATTGTTGCCTCTCCAGCTACATGAGACTGTCAAAGTTCTGTTTAGCTTTTACCTCTTAGCAATTGTTTTGTTCATTGTTTCTCAGACTCAAGCCTGAGAGAAGGTTTACATTTAGGGGAAAAACAAAAGAAAAATCTCAAGGGCAAAAGTAACACAGAGTGGTGAATGTACTTCTCTGCTATTCTCATTTCTCCTAGAACTTGGCTTCTCAAGCACTGAGTTCCTTGGTATCTTAAATACAATTTTGTCCCACCAGCAATTTGAGACTGTTGAAAGCTTTAGGCCACTTCTTTCTGTTCAGCCTCTATATGTCAGGAATTGATGCCCTGAAAATAAAAAGCTCTGAAAAAGGTCCACCTCAGCTCAGTGCATTTCCCTTCTCTCAATTATCCTGGGCCACCAAGTTCTGGCTCTCTTGGTTGCACACCAGTTTTTCAAACACCTGTTCTATGAGTTCAGTTGGGCTTTTATAATTGTTCTCAGTGGGAGGAATAGTCTGATACAAGCTATTTTATCATGACCAAAATTAGAAAGGGCCAACCAAGGAACTAAGCAAGATCCAGGGACCTTCATTTTAATGCTCAGTATTAGCATGATTTGGTGTCTTAGTTCATATTCTCTAGAGTGATAATATGATGGATTCAGCTCAGCCTATAGACGAGTTTTCCTGAAATCATGTGTTCGACACTCATTCAGTCATTTATTGCCACGAGGCTTATTGTGTGGTACCAGCAACAGTGCTTGTGTGATCAGAGAGCAATAATCAGCATATCCAGTATAGTCATATTTACAAAAGACTATCATGAAGGATATGGAGGAATCTAATCTCCTATCGTCTCTCTCTTTTTAAAGTTCCTCATACTGACTTCAGGCTTAAAAGAAATTCTACCCTTAGAATAGCCTTGGAGGTTTTGGCATCGTTCATAACAAAATCATATTTTGCTAGCCCCTAGGATAAATTTCAAAATTTTGCACTCATTATCTATAATTTAATTTGGCAAAAATGTACTTCTATGGTACATTTATTGAATGGGAGAGTTATCCAACTCATTCACTTAATTTTCTTGTTTGTCCTCTATACTCTAAAAATGGGGACAACAATATCCTTTTTTTAAAATCTTCCACAGCTAGTCTGACTTCTTGAGTATAGTAGGTGATAGAAAACACTGTATTGATTTTTACTATGCGACTAGTCTTACTAATTTACTCATTGTTTTCCAATTGACAAGCCCAGTCATACATATATGGAGGTTAATCCTCAGTCCTGTATGCCTGTGCAACTCCAATTATGCTTGAAGTCTCACTTTAAAATCCGTTCTCAAAAAAAAAAAAAGGTTTACTTAATGCCTCCTTTAGTCACTCAGGCTATGAGATCACATGTGGGTGAGAAGATAATGCTGTAAGAATGACCACCACCATATACTACTGTTGCACTAGTGATTACTCCTCTACTCATAGGTGTTAGCATGTCTGACTCTTTTTGGCTCTCTATAATATGATTTACCATTTACCTACAAATTTTTTTTATCCTTCACTCACTTTACACAGGTATTTTAACATAATTTATGCTCAATATTTGCTTGAAAAGAATTAAGTCTCACTGACAACCGTTGAAGAAAAATATTTCTATCATTTTAGATAGTTGCTCCACAAGTAAGCAACAGACAAAAAATGGTTTATAAACCACTACTCTACTATAAGATAGTTTTTTTTTATATAAAATACTCTAGGTATGCATTCCAAAAAGAGTTTTATTTAATCAACAAGGGTAAAACATTTGAGACAACATGTAAATTATGTCATACATTCTTTATGCTCTTTTTCAAAGTTCTTAGAATTATCAGCATAGAATTTATGACCCCAAAGCATTCTGGGAACGTGAACTACACACTATTTTCAGGGGAGAAAATTTGATGTAGAAATGACGATTGCTAGTGATAACTGCAACATCCTTATCATGATAATTCTTTTATTTTCAACATTTCCATTTGCTAATGATCACTGTGCCAGCCTTTATGAGGTAATTTTTTCTACTTGCAAAATTTCTGGACAATGTCTATAGTTAATATCTGAACCCAAGGCTGAGTTACTGATTCCACAATAAAATAGGCAAACTTTTCCAGACTCTGCCCAGCCGTAAAGTGGGAGAGGTCCACCTGTTGTCCCCAGAACTCCAGGAATGTAAAAACAGGGAGGAACAGGGAGAAAGAGTCACAAAAGGAACAGCAAACGAACAGAACCTTGGGGAAGATCATCACACCTGGACTGTGTCACAAAAAAACAAGGATTGAGAAGACCATTTAAAGATAAATGAGAGCCAGGAATGAAGGTGAAAGTGATTAGAGATTTTACATCCAAAAATGAGATTCAGAAATCACTGAATTGGAAGAAACATGTGCATAAGGCAAGAAAGTGTATAATGCATCGAGGCGGGTGACATACACAAACACTTTATCATTTATTATTTAGGCAGTAAATATCCTTACAGTGGTTCAATGCAGGCACCTTACCATGATAGTTTTTCCTGAGTAATTTAAAAAATAATACATTTTACCTATTTTGAATGGTATTATGCATTTCTTATATCATTTTATCATAATTTTTAAAATATTCTTAAATATCTCAATTTAGTGCTTACACCTATTCTGAAAATAAACTAACAGTTGATGAACTACTCTTTAATACTTCCTCACTTAAAATAAGTTTTATAGCTTTCCTAAACCAAGGATAAAATAAAGCATAAATCAAAGGATTCATGGCTGAATTATAATACGTACCCCAGCAGCAAACCTCATAAATGTAGGCAGGGGTTATGAAGCCCATAAAAGCATCAATTAATGAATCAATTGTATATGGCAACCATGAAATCATAAATGCGACCACTGTGACCCCCAGGGTTTTAGCTGCTTTTCTCTCTGTCTTGGCAACTCTGGCTTTGTAACTTTCTGATGATGATTCTGCTTTACTATTAGTAGTTTCAATTTTTATAGCTTGCTGTTTGGCTATAAGAAAAATCTTACTGTAAAGAATTATCATAACAAGAGTAGGTATGAAGAATAACAGAAAATCTACCAAAACCCAGTCTTGATTTACAGCAATTTGACAACCACCTCTGCAGTTGAGGGCACTTACGAGTTCCTCCATCCCATCATCATTCACACCTGTGTAGAATACGGCGCCGCTGTACACAATTGGCAGGATCCAGGACAGGGTGATGCATATTCCCGACACAGACACCATGAACTTGGTAGGATAGACCAGAGGGTCAGTAACAGCAATGTATCTGTCGATGGAGATGAAGCACAAGTGTAAGAGAGAAGAGTAGCAGAATGCCACATCACAGCATCTGTGAAAGGCACAAAATTGGGCTCCAAAGTACCAGCAGCTCTCCGCAGATCTGACCATGCTGAATGGCATCACAGTCACACCTGCTAAAAAGTCAGCACAGGCCAAAGAAGCGATCAAAAAGTTTGTTGGAGTGTGCAGCTGCTTGAAATGCAGGACTGAAATCATCACCAGGAGGTTTCCAAATACAGTGAGCACAGATGCGGAGCCAAAGGCTGTGTACAGAATCACCCGGGATCCAGGCAAGTAGGGAGATTTAATACAAGATCCGTTCACAGTCTCATAGCAAAGCTGCACCACATCAGGCTGGGATAAATTGCTGGTCATAGTTCTGCTGCTTGATGCTTGCTGTATTTCTGCTCCTTCTGGTGGTGGGGATCAATAATTTTCAGTTCTGAAAATTAAAAAAAGAAAAAATCAAACCGCATATCTAAGTAACTACTTTTATTATATCATATTACATTCTTTTTTTCCATTTTGATTATCAAAAGAAATTCAAAACTTAGAAAATTATTCTCTTTAATTTATATATTATTTCTGTAACTAGGTCTAATTCTAATAGATAATTAATCACACGAAATTCTACTACAAACTTTCATCAGCCCAGAAATCACATTAACTGAAGAAATCAACTGCAGAAACTGAATTTAAATACCTGGTTCTTTACACTTGTGAAGCTCTTCTTTGCAAGCGGTAATCGCATATAAATTACATATTTCAGAGGTCACCTTTTAATAGGCTTCCACCTCCAAGTTGTCTGAAAAATTAACACCTAGAATGTTTTAGGAAGCCAGCCAACAGACTACACCCATTATAAATTCCTCACAAGGCATCCCTATAGGGCAAGGTGTGAATCATGAAAGGAAACTTAATTTGATAACTATAATTAATAATTCCTCAAATAAGCAGTATGTTTTTCTGTGCTCTGCAACTTTTTGGAAATACATAATTTTCAAAAAACAAGAGATTTCTTTAAGTTTACCTCTCTGAAATAGCCCAGCCCAATACTTGACAGTAATCTTATCTACTCACGATTTGCAAGACTGTCTCTGTAATTTGGGAGTGCAGTGCAAAATAAAAATGTGGGGCTCTTGTTCACAATAACCAAAAAAGTTTCCACTAAAGGTATTAAGGAGCCCTTGTGATGCAGTGGTTAAGAGCTCAGCTGCTATCCAAAAAGTCAGCAGTTCGAATATACCAGCCGCTCCTTGGATACCCTAAGGGTCAGCTCTACTCTGTCCTACAGGGTTGCTATGACTTGGAACCTACTCAGCGGCAATGGGTTTTGGTTTTTATTAAAGGTACTAAAGTATAAAGCTTCATCCTTTCTTGTGTGGTCTTTCTTTGGCCTGCCATGGTGTTTTTTAATTTGCTATTTAATGACCCACCCTTCTTAAGAGCCATCACTCCTCCAGCTATGGGAAGACACTACAAAGGCCTCTTCTCAGCAAGAAAACAGGAACGCATCTCAGGGTCTGCCCTCACCTTCTGTCTTGATTTCTTATGGCTGCGATCCAACAAAGTATCACAAACTGGATGGCTTATAAGAACAGAACCTTATTGTGGCACATTTGGTGGCTATGAGTTCAAAATCAGGATATCAACTGTATGGGTTCCTTCCGAGAAGTCTGAGGGAGAATCTGTCCTGTTCCTCTTTTCAAGCTTCTGTTGACGGCTGCCAATCCTTCGTGTTCCTTGGCTTGTAGAGCACCCCAATCTCTTCACATGGCCAACTTCCTTCTCTATAACTCTGTGTTTGTGTTTTATGAGGTCACGATTCAGAATGGATTAGGACCCACCCTACTGTAGTATGACCTCATGTTAACTGATAACGTCTTCCAAAACCCTCCTCCAGACAAATTCACATTCACAGGTACTGGGGTAAGGACTTTAACGTACCTTTTCAGGGGACACAATTTAGTCCATAATGTAGCCTCTCTTTGATGACAGGCCAATAACTAAGGTTAAGTTGTAACATAACCCAGCTGGGAGATGATGGGCCTGATAAGAAAGAAATACCCTAAAGGGGCTACAAGAATTAGCCATCCTGTTCTAGCAGGAACAGATGAGTACCATATCTATGCGACTGGATTTTGAGGATGTTTGATCAGGGGGATGGAACATGAAACTAGAGAAAGAGTTTACAGACAGGGGACATACTCAGGATATAACCTCAGAGAATGGTGCAAACTCAATCCTATGGTTGCTCCTAGAAATTTAAATAATATCCCACACCACACAAAGCTGAAATGTCCAAATTGCCATGAAATATGATGGAGGAAAGAACGCCTCAGGGAAGCAGGCATGCAAGAGTAGATATACTACGTAGTGTCAGAAGACCAACCGGAGATTAGTTTCTCAAGAAGGCCAAGAGCATACATCATTTACCAAGGCCATCAGGAATGAGCTGGTGAGAGGTGCACCAGCTTCACTAAGTTCAGTGGTGGCGCTCCTCTTTAGACAATTGCTAATGGAAAGAGAGTTTGTCGTAGAACTTAGCACATTTGTAACAATTGGTATAATGCTGTCCCAAGCAATAGAGGACCTGTGGTAGCATTTAACTACCAGAACTTGGTGGTTTATAATAATTGAATTAAAGGAAAGGGTGGAATTGCACCCAAGGAGATTTGATCACATAGAGTTGTAGAGCAAGGTGTCCTTAGGAGCAAAAGAGATAAGTAGCCACTGAGGATACTATTAATATATATAATCAAAAGAGAGGATGGATGAACAGGTAGCCGAGGTCAATCACATAGTATCTTAGTTTCCTAGTGTTCCTATAACAGAAATACAACAAACGGGTGGTTTTAAAGAACAGAAATTTATTTTCTAACAGTTCAGGAGGCTAGAAGTCCAAATGCAGGGCAGCAACTCTAGGGGAGGCTGTCTCTCTCTCTGTTGTCACTAGGGGAAGATACTTCAGCGTCTGTAGCCACATTGTTCCTCAGTTCCTTGGCAATCTTCACATGGCATCTATTTTATCCCCATTTGTACTTTTTTTGGTGTAACATACTCTTGTTATATCTCTGAAGTTATTAGGTTTAGGACACACCCTACACAGATATGACTTCATTAACAGAACAAAAACACTATTCCCAAATGACATTTTGTCCGTAGGTACAGAGCAGAGATTAGGATACACATATTTTGGAGGGACACAATTCATTCCATAATAGCATCCAATCAGGAAAACCGTGTCACAGTAAAAGAGAAGTAGTACTGGGCCCATGACCTTGGGATAAACTATATTAGTACGGTACATTCCAGATAGAATGTTGGAATGGCCTACCAAAAATGTTGCTGAAGTGCCAGGTCTAAGACTATACTCTATGAGGACGTGGTGTCATCCTCCAGAATGCACTACATAATCGTATCAGAAACTTCCCTATAACCCTATGACCTCAATAGCAAGAATACATGGGCCTGGGAAACAAGGGGTGGATGCAGTAGTGGCCCACTTACCATCATTCCCAATGACCCATCAGAAATTTCTGGTCTCTGGGCTCTTACACAGTTAGAGAACCTAGATTCCAAAGTGGGTGCACTCTTTCCAGGGAACACAGTAGGTGTTCCACTGAAGAATAAGCCACAGCTGCTGCCTAGGAACTTTAGATTCCTACTGTGCTGTAACCAGAAATCAAGAAGAGGAATCACTGTATTGGAAGAAGCAATTAATTTATCAGAAGCAGGATGTGGGGCTTCTGTTACACAATGGAGGCAGGGAAGAATATGTGTGGAACTCAGGTGATCTACTTGGGCACCTCTTAGTACTTTCTTGCCCAAATGTAACTGTATGCACTAATGCAATAACTTTGCCCTGAGATGGATATATTTACCAGGGGCTAAAATGACTCAAGACTAATAGTTTGGGTCACACCACAAGAAAAGCCCCTGAGACCAGCAGAGGTGATAGCTGAAGACAAAAGGAGTTGAGAATGGATAGTGGAGGAGAGAGAAGATGAGTACTAGTGGGCCCTGAGACCAAGTGTTGCAATGGCTCCTGTAGTTTATCACACCAACCTCCCTCTTCTAGGTTTTCCTGAGGCCCATTGGAACCCTAGAGGAGTTTATACCCAATTATACCTAGAGAAGTAGCTCAGTGTGCCACAAGGAGTTGACTGTGGCAGAGAGAGAGGCACTGCTAAGACTCCTCTTCAAGAAACGACTCATTGTCCAGCTGTGGGGAGTATTTCTAGCTGACACCCTCCAGCTGTTATCTCCTTATAGTTGGCTTCAGCTTTTGAGCCATATTCTTCTTGGATGGCCTTAACTAATGACCACACGACTGTGTTATAAGGGCCTGGCCATTTCTGCCCAATTTAGGACTCTTCTAATGGCAATCTTTGCTCCAGTACTCTCCATTGGATTTGCAAGTTTTATCCAAAAATGTATGAGTCTTAGGCTCACCCTGTCCAATCCTGTTTTCTCCTCCCTTTCCTTTCACAGGTTCAGATCTACATTGTACTCTGAAGGTGTTCCCTCTTTGACCCTGCTTCCTTGTCTCTTATCTTTAACAGGCATTACCCCCAAAGAAACCCCCTATACTCCTAACTTGTCTTACCATCTGCTTCCCAAACAACCCAAAGTGACGCAGACTGGAATCCCTTCTTTTCTTCTACTCCAGCAAAACTGTCCCGTCTTCAAGGGACTATTTAGTGCTTGTAGTGATGTCTTTGCTTTGTAACACTTCAAAGAGGACTTCTGCAGCAGATTTGTTCAATGCAAGGCCTCTTTTGATTTCTTGAGTACTGGTTCCATGGTCATTGAATGTGGATCCAAGTAACATGAAATCCTTAACAACTTCAATATTTTCTCCATTTATCATGATGTTGCTTATTTGTCTAGTTGTGAAGATTTTTGTTTTCTTTATGTTTAAGTGTAATCTATAGTGAAGGCTATGGTCTTTGATCTTCATTAGTAAGTGCTCCAATCCTCTTCACTCTCAGCAAGTAAGGTTATGTCATCTGCATATCGCAGGTTGTTAATGAGTCTTCCTTCAATTCTGATGCCTGTTCTTCTTCATTTAGTCCAGCTTCTCTGATAGTTTGCTGAGCATACAGATTGAATAAGTATGGTGGAAAGATACAACCCTGACACACACCTTTCTTGACTTTAAACAATGCTGTATCTCCTTGTTGTGCTCAAACGACTGCCTCTTGATCTATGTACAGGTTCCTCATGAGTATGATTAAGTGTTCTGGAATTCCCATTGTTAGTAATGTTATCCATAATTTGTTATGATCCACACAGTTGAATGCCTTTGCATACTCAATAAAACACAGGTAAACATCTTTCTGGTATTCTCTTCTTTCAGCAAAGATTCATCTGACATCAGCAATGATATCCCTGGTTCCATGTCCTCTTCTGAATTTGGCTTGAATTT